GATTTTCTCAGAAGACTAGGATTGGGAGTTCCATTCAATCCAGCTACTCCCCTCCTGGGTATTTTCCCAGAAAAAACTGAAAAAGTCATATCACAGTGATTTATGTGCACCCATGTTTATTGCAACACAATTTGTAATAGCTAAATCTTGGAAACAATCAAGATGCCCATCAACCACAGAGTAGATGAGAAAGATGTGGTATTTTTATACAATGGAATAATTACTCAGCTATAAAAAGGATGATCTTGAGGCCTTCATAGGCAAATGGAGACAACTTGAGACTATCCTCATTAGTGAAATAAATAAGAATCATATTTATAAATATAACACTGTGTCTCTAGTGTAAAAAGTAATAAGAAATTTAGAAGTAACATAACCCTAAATGTGTAATTGCTATAGTAAAAAGGAGAAGAAAATAAAGTACTCTAAAGGATATAACTGCATGTATGTTTAAGTGTGTAGGATTGATAACCATATTACTAAATTTTTGTTGGATTGTGGAACAGAACTGTTTGCAGTCTCACTGTTTGAACATCCACTTTGTATGATTTACTTTTATAACTTGAACAACTATTTCCAAGGGGACAATATGTAATTTATCAACTAGTGATTTCGTATTGTTCATTTTTTTGAAATTATATATTATCTCTACCCTTTTTGTTTTTTTCTTTTCTCTTTAAATAAAAAAATCTAAAAATAAAATAAAATAAAATTTATTACAAATTATACTCAAAAAATATATATAATTTTTTTTGGTCCTGGGGATCAAACTCCTATACTTGCACTTGCAAAGCAGGCATTTATTCCACTGAGCTAAATCTCCAGCCCTTTTTCTTTTTCCAAAAAATATTTTAAAATTTGAAAAGTTTCCAAAAAGATAATACATACAAGTAAAATTACCTTTTCCAAAAAGATAATACACACAAATGAAAAGATAATACATAAAATAAAATGATAATACTGGGACACAAATGTACAGACTTAGATTTGATGAAGCACTCTGCTATGGATTCAATACATTATATGCTTCATACAACTGTATCTATAATACCAATAAAATATAAACTTGAAAAACATCTAGGAGAGTCTCTTCTAAAAGCCAAAGGACATTCATTTTTTGGAAACCCCAAACAAAAAACAGAGAGATGCTCTCTCAAACTATTTAGAAAACATTATACAGGTACAGTCATGTAAGTCTGAAATTCAGACAACATATATACACACTAAACCTAAAAGAATTATCAAGAAATACATTTTGTTAAATTAAAAAAAAAAACCCTGAGATTTGATGAAGCTGGCAGTACAAATCAAAAGTAAGCTGTAATTACTTCTTTACTGTGGTAAACTGCTCAATTGTATGTGTAATGTGGAACTTATTTCTCTATCAAATGTTCAAAGGTACACACTCCATAGATTCACAAAAAATACAACATATGAACCTAAAACATCAAAGAAAGTATAGGAAAATGACTTTCTCATCTACGAATCAGGAAACCCCTTGACATAAAACTGTAAAGCTACAAAACTTAATGTGACTTGGAAAAGATAAACTAGCCAATAGTATAGATTTCTGTTCAGCAAAGAAAATACACAAAGAAATACAAATGCAGCTTCAGAAATCACAAGAAGGAATGCTGACCTTCTGCAAGTTGTAATGAAATACTTACAGAAACAACAAGAAGAAAGCTCATCAGAAATACCAGAGCATGACACAGGCAGATAATTTACAGGTTTTATTTAGGAAATGGGGGAGGAGGCTAAAACTGGAGGCACAAAACACACAAATGAAAAGACACAAATAAATTTCAATTCAAATCCATGGAACTTGTCAAAATAGAAAAGGTCCACTGTTGATGCTTATGAGAGATAAAAACTATTGCCCATTGATCATGCTGTAGTGTTTAGAGTGTATTATAAGATTTTAACTAACACACACTCTGTGCACCAGCAAAGACACTTGTGAGCACCTATGGGGTGTTTCACATCTGCTTCTGGGACACCAAAACAATATTCTCAGTGCATGTGTATCAGTGACAGGAGTAGAGAACCCTGCTCTAACTGTGGAAAGGGAAATTAAATGTTATGCTAGCAAACAATGGAGACCCTTACAGGAATTATATCTACCTAAACCAGTGCAGATAAATCTGGAAAATACTATTGGATGAATTAATTACAATATGAACTCTGTATTGTAGTATTTGGACAAAAAAATACATGTGCAAGAGGCTGGGGTACAGCTCTGCACTAAAGCACACACACAGTGCTCATCAGTATGTGCAGTCAACATGACTAATGTACATGGAGCCACCAAATACCATCTAGCAGTGAAGAGCAGAGGCACAATGTGGAACCAATGCAAATGGACAACCGATTTGTCAAGCACAGCACTAGTGCTATTTGGGGCTCAAGGTTTTTTTTTCTAACATGGGCCAGTCTGTGTCATGTGACATTGTTAACATTCTTAACCTTCACCCTTATAATGCTATTAAATCCTTTATGCTGTATGTCACAATTACAAGAAAAAAGCTGAGACGCATTTACATTATTTCCTGATGTGCACAATTACCATAACCTGAAAACCACTGAGTTTGCAGATACAATGGCCACACGCGCTCCTGAAAAACAAGGTACAAGAATGAACAAAGACCACAGGCTGACAGCTCTCCAACTCCAATCTCTCTACAAAGTACCCTGACTATCCGTGCGCACTCTCCCCTTTGTTCTCACCACCTGCACTACATTTCACATGTCACTGCTTTAAAAACTGGAAAGAGCTCCACTGCTTCATGCTGAATGACAACACCCACAGGGAGATACAGACGGACAGATGTTTTAAACTGAAGCTGTGTGCTTTGTCTCAGCTGTGTCACAGGCCATTCCTATGGGCAGCTCCAGGATACCAACACGTACCAACAGGTCTGTAGTGTGTGCGCAGCCAAGAGAACTCTGGGGGACTTGGGGATGGCATCAATTAGAACTTATGGATCACGTAACGAAGGTCCTGTCTTTATCCACACAGCAAAGATAAAAGTCTTGGAATGAAAAGTAGTGGACAAACATGCCTTCACCATCTTAATGCCATGCAAATAGAGTGGGTTACATGAGTGGGCAAACTGAGATGAAAGGCAGATGTTTATGCAGGCTAAAATAATTAGAAAGGTTTCCAAAATGACATAATTAAAACTAGGAATGGAAGTGCTTCCTCTTGAACTTTGCTCATGCTTGATGGCTTGTGTTTCAGCTGCTATGGCCAGCCCCGTGTGGTGGCTCATGCCTATAATCCCAGCACTCGGGAGACTGAGACAGGAGGATCATTGTGAGTTCAAGACCAGCTTGTGTTACAAAATGAGCTCAAGGCAAGGCCAACCTGCATAGTGAGACCCTGTCTCAAAAAGACAAAAATAAATAAATAAATAAAAATAAAGGAACACACTACGCCTGATCCATAAAATATTACCTATATTTCAGGACATATATGCAACGACACAAAATCATAATAAAAACATGAAATTATCTCATTCAGTTTATTCAGTTTATTGAATACAGGGCACTGTAGTTCACCATTGGTGCCCTGTTATAGACAGGATGAGTCATAAAAGTCGTCCACCAACATGAGCATGTATTGTGCCACATATCCCTAGTGTGCTAAAAGAATAAAATAAAAAACTCAAAATAAGATTTCCCACTGAATACTCTTCCTTTTATTCTTCAATACTGGAGATTTATCTGAAGGCCCAGGGCATATTACATGAGTTACTGTTCAGCAAAGGAGACTCACAGAATTTGTATTTCCTATTGAAAGACGATCTTACTCAAGAGTGCAGTCTTGGTGTTGTTAACCTGTCATTCTCCCAAATGCTTGAGAGTAAAGAGATGAACAACCATGCCTCGCTAATTTTTACTTTAGCCAACCACTGAAATCTTGGTAGGTTATGATCAATAAAGAACCCAGATCTTGAATGGTGATACTGGCAAATGCATGTCATACCAACAGAGAATGAGGTACAAAAACAATCAAAAATCACTACTCCATCCTGGACAACTTAGTAAAACATGACTTCAAAATACCAAAAAAAATCAGTAAATAAAAAATTTTTAATTTAAAATTAGAAATGTGAGAGTACATAGCTCAGAGCAAGTTTCCATCTTCGGTTTCTGTACAATAAAAACACACCTTGAAGTCTTCCATGTCCTGGGGAAACTGCTTTCAGTCTACTTCAGTCATGGTGTCCACAAAATTTTGTACTTACACCAAGGCCAGACACTTTCCTAATTTCTGATTTTGTTATAAAAATGATTACATGAACTAATCAGTAATAACAGAAGACATTTAATTAATACTAAGTTCTCTTCCTTTCTTCAAGCTTGCAACTTTGAGCCAACTCAAAGATGAAGCAAAAACAATTCTTCTGTCATGCTTACTCTAAGAACAATCTGACCTAGAGAGGAGATCTTCCATGTTATAAGTCCTACTAGTGGCACCCTTTGCCAACACCTGTCATGAGGATGGAAATATGAGAACATACTATAAATTTAGGCGATCACTATAAATACAAAAAAGCCAGAAGTTTGAAGAGAGCAGTTGTGGCTATGAGGCTCTGTATCACATTTATAAACTTCAGACCCTCCAGAAGTGCTGCTCACAGGAATGAGAGCCGAGACCTAACTCAGTACAGCTGCATCCAGCTCCAAAATACATCAGAGTCAGGGTCTCCCCAAGCCCTTTCTTCTGCCCAAAGTGCTGGACATGCCAGGGCAGTAGACCGTTTCAAAGATGATATTCGAGTTTGCTACTGTCACAGTGAAGACACGGTTCTGGGGACCCAGAATCACCCTCGCCCCCAGCAAGAGGCAAAGGGACAGAGGATGGCTCACTGCCTCACTGACCTCAGGGGCTGAGGCTAAGTACTAAGGTTCTAGACACCAAACTGCTTCTGACCATTTCTAACTCGTCTCGCTCGATTCCACCCCATTTCAGGCCTCCCAGCCCACAACTTCACCATTCTGTGGCTCGAGGGTCTCCCAGATTCCTTCCTAAGCAGGCCACAGGAAATCGAAGCCACAAAACGCGGTTCAGCAAGCATTCTGCTCTCACTGTGGTGTAAAAGATACGCTGTTACCGCCATGACACCAGAAGGTACCGCCTACCTCGGCTCGCCTGATTGGACAGTTCTTGTAGCCCGCCACTTCAGCACTGATTGGCTGCTGCTCTCCTGCCTTCCCTCTGAGCCAAATGTAAACATAGAGAGAAACCCTTACCTCTAGGAGTGCATCCCTAACGAAAGCTTCTAGTGCAGAGACTTCTGGAGCTAACTGTCTTCTGCACTGTTGACCTCACCTCATCTGAGGGATATTTGCACTAAAAAGGTTGAATCCCCGCCTTTTCACGGCTGCTCCTATTTCCTTTCCGGACTCAATGGACTCTTTCTGTAACCGACTGCAAATGTTAGAAGGATTCAGGTTCAATCCTCTAGAGGAGGAATCAAAGCCCCTTCCCCCACCTTGTCAGAAAACATCCTGAGCTCTGATTGGGCCAGGACTCAATGGAATAGAGAGAGGGCAGGCTGTGTGAGAATTCAGTGTTAGGGAGTGAGGAGAGTGAGGCAGAAGGCTTCCTTATCAAGATTTTCAGCTCTCTCTCTCTCTCTCTCTCTCTCTCTCTCTCTCTCTCTCTCTCTCTCTCTCTCTCTTTCTGTCTCTGTCTGTCTCTCTCTCACTCACTCAGTGTGTGTGTGTGTGTGTGTGTGTGTGTGTGTGTGTGTGTGTCTATCTCCGTCTCTGTCTCTCTTCAGTTTCAGCCTAGAAACTAACTATATGCCCACGAAAAGAGCACAATTACTTTTTAAATGAAGGAATTAAGGTTAAATGATAGCAATCATCTGCAAAAGATTAAAGATGAAAGTAAAGCAAACAACTCTGCCAGACAAGCTTGCTACTCATCAAGGGTCATAAAAGCGTGAATTGTGAAAGTAAGCATATTCCCAAGTGTGATGATCATAACGATTTCTGAAATTTAGCCAAATTCCTCATCCACTCTCTCCTTTCTTTGTGATGAGGCAGGGGGCACCTAAGAACTTCAGAGTCTAAGTAAGCTCCACATGCCCTACAGTTCCCTCTCACAAATTGAATCTCTGCCTCTTCAGGACTTGAATATTCCTGCAAGGCATATATTGCCTGGAGCAATGTATACAGCTGTTAACGACTGATGCGGCTTCAGAGATGTGTCCAATATTATTGAGGTACAATTCCAGGTGTGTCTGGTGAAATCATGTGAGCGTGTATACCATGCTACCTAAAGACCAACATGCATGTGAGTCTTCCCAGCTATGAGAAATTTGAACATTAGTGTATGTCTTTAGCTTAAGATCTTTTATCAGGAAGAGGAAGGCCAATCTGATTGCTCCTTTAAAATAGCTTATGATGACTGAGGAATCTAATGTGCAATCAAGACCCTGCAAGTCGAAGCACTTGCTTTCTGTTCATTACAGGGCATTCAATTCAGGATTTGAATTTTGACATTTAGGTGTATGGCACAGTATTTGTAACCACTTCATAAACATGTGGAAATGATGTAGGAGAAATGCTGGATTTCAGCTTTGTCAAATACATTGTTTCCATAGTTGAAGAATAAATTCCAAGGAGCAATGGCAGTTAACAGAAGGAAAACTGGTTGCAGAATAGAAATAAGAACAGGGATACAGAATAGCAATGAGGAATAGTAGTACTCCTGGAGATAGGGGAGGTCTTGAATGGGTTGTCACCAAATACATGTCTCAAAGGAACTTTGTAGAACAAAATCATGAGTCAGATACAACGTGGGACAGTTTCATTAATCAATAAGATTGAAAATATGATCATTTAGGTAATATTGATTCAATGGTAGTAAAAGTATATGCATAACATCATTAACAATTGGTGACAATCTATAGTCTTAGTCCTGTCTTTAGTTTTAGCAGACTTAGTCTCAGTGGTTTTAGATTTAGTTCTAGTGCTCTTAGTGTGTGGGGGAGAGAAGGACTTATCCCTAATGAGATAATAGGAAATCACAAAAGCTTTCCTATTCCTAAAAAACACAGTGTTTATCCTAAAGGATAAACACAAGGATAGTGTCTGTACCTAGATCCCAGTCCCCTAAATAGATGCATGGTGAAGGCTCAAAGTATGAGACAAGTGGCATGGTCGTCAGGGCTGCAGGAGGACAAAATCCTTGCCAGAGCTCATAACTTTGCTAGCCAGCTGGCCAGCCAATGCTAAGCAGCCCATATTTAATCAGAAAAAGCAAGGGGTTGAGTGAACAATGGGGGAAACCTGAGCAGGATCTTGGGAGGGGTTCAAGGACCCCTCAGAGCAACAGATAATGCTAATTAAGGAATACTATCACCATAAAGTCTCTAGGTGGCCTCATCTGTGACCTATCATGCCCCCTGAGGTATCTCCTTGTTCTCAGTACAATCATGCCCAGGTCATGCCATAGCCCTCACATATATTGAGCTTCAACATTCTCCAACACTTGGGGAAGTATGTAAATTACCTGTTATGATGTTAACGTTCAGATACGCTTCTTGCCACAGTTTCAATTTCTCACCTTCTCCACTGATTCCCTTGTTAGGCCATATAGTCTGAGTTCCTAGTATATTTCTGCCTAACTTAGCTCTGTACAAAAGAAGAGCCATAGAGGTGAAAATGTCCCACATACTCTCATAGGCCATTTTAAGGAAGATATCAATGAATATAGAACTATACTTATAGTGAAGTGGCAGGTATAGGTGTTATATCAATTATGGAAAAGTCACTAGTGGAGTGAATTTGATACCACCCAGGGATAAGAACTAAATGATTCATACCCATTTGGAAGCCCATGTCCACTTTTATAAATAGAGTGCACTTGAAAATAGATTGTACAAGGCTATCTGAGGTTCAAACTTTCCATCAGTGCCAAGGTTTTCCATCCTTGCTGAGGTTTTTTCACACTTTTTCCATCATCTAGGCCATTTTACCTTCTTTAGGTTGGGTTCAGTCCAATACATTGTGTGCAGCCATATCCTTAGGCATATTTGAGAAGTGTTTTGCGATGTTGCTATATTGCCCAACAACACATCAAACTTGTAAATGTGCATTTGGTTAGTGTAAGCTTCCCTGAGTGCTGACACAGGAGTGGACAACCATATCGTGCCATGACATATTTCATTAAAAAGCATAGGAAAACATAAAAACAAAATACTGTAACTATTAACATACCTATTCCATTTCTTCAGCAGCAGTATTCTATGCAACAATCAAAAGTGAAAAGAAAGCCTCCAACTGCACCTATGCTCACAGGAAAATCCACATTCAGACAGTTGAACATCCTTTCCTTTTAGAGGGTGAGACTGATGGCTGAAAGGGCGTGCCACAGGGAATCCTGGTGATGAGGCAACAGGAAGTAAAAATATTCACTCTGGGAGCTCATCGCAGCCTGCTGCTTGAAAATGCAACTGCCTACACCCTAAGATTTACTAGAGAAAAGTCCCTTACCTGGAGTTCTCTAAGGTCCTCATTAAAGTGTCAAATTCATCACCTCTTTCCCAGAAACTATGTAAAACAACCAGTCTTTCAGCCTGAAAACAAATATTTAATGGATACAAATTAGAGATTCACACTTGTAAATCTAGGCATGCCCAAATCAAAACCATCTGTAGACAATACCACGGAAAATAGGGTCAGAGCCTCAGAAAGGAAACATGTACTCAGTAGCCTTCTACATGAATTTCCAACCCTGCACCACTCTGCAGCTTTTCTCTGTTCACACTCATTCTGTGTTCTCTCCAGCAGAAGCCACCTACAGGGAAGGCTGCTGTCCAGAAAGCAGCAAGGAAAATCATTGGTCTTTCTTGGCTGCCTCCAGTTTGTCCCCACGTTGAAGATGTGATCCATTTACAACCACATTTATACATTAAGTAAGACAAGAATGATGAACACAAATCTTTGAAAATGACATTGTGACAATGTATGATTCATTTTATCTTACCTGATTATATGTATTTAAAAATGGACAAATAAATACGCTGTTTAAAAAAAAGCTATCTAAAAACAAATTCTTATATTTAATCAAACTGGGTTGGAAAGGCACTCTCCCCGATTCTCTCAACCTCAGAAGTTCTCCCAAGATCCCACTGATGCTTGTTTCCTGGTGCTGTCTGTCTGGTAATGCTTCTATTCGCTTTGCCATTTGAAAATGTTTCTCTGTCTCACTTCCCTTACCATAAACCCACAAAGTATTTCCTAGAGTATATACTGCATGTCCCAAAGATGCATTTTCCTTTTAAAAATTTATACCTGATCCAGGGTTTTTTTCATCTCAGGTTCAGTCACATCCCATGAGAAATCAAGGTAGTGGCTTGGGACTGAGGTAGAAAGTTTTCAAGAACTGGTGTGATTTAGACATGGGAGTGGAAGTGTGGTTGTTCTTGAGCAATGTACATGCTTTTTGCATTTGGCGATAAAGTCAATCATGTGACTTCTCCACACAACCTATGTCTTTTCTTTTGATCTGACAAGTCAGACACTTGAAATCATGAAGCTCTCCATTTTAAAAAAGCATAATGCCCCCTTATCTGAGGGACATATGATCCCATGTGCCCAGTATATGCTTCCAAAAGATAGAATTAAAACACACAAACATACATGCACAGCATTTCATATACACATACTGATGTATATTGCATATACATATACACCTATGAAAAATGTTAATTCACTATGCACAGGTAGAGACTTATATTACTTAATACCAAAATGGTTATTAAAATCATACTGTAAATGGTGCCATGTTTATGTGCTATCTTTCTCTGAATATGGCCCTTGTTATTCTTATTCTTTGTATGGGGAAATATCACACAATTGTTCGATGATGAGATCCATTGAGATAGATGGATCACAGTGGCACGCGATTTCAACATTCTACTGAGAATGGGGCATGATATAAATCTTGTCATTTTTAGTTTTGGAATTTTTAATATTTGATCCAAGTAAACTGGCAGAATTAACACATGGATAAAGAGGAACTATGATTACCCTAGGTACTCTCTCATCCCCAAACACACCTACTGGATATACTGGAGCAAAGCTTTTGCCTTAAAACCCAGGAGCCCCACACTGAAGATTTTGATAGGTGGATCTGGTACTTGTGTTCACATATTGAACTCATATGCTTGGGATCATCACATGCTTGTGCTGCACAATTGCAACTCTTGATTTCCAAGGTCACAATGTGATTTCATCACCATCCTTTAGGATTCTCCTCATTGGAATCATTCTGCGGATTTTCTTTAGAAACATATGAAGCATGCTGAAATACTTATATCCTTGTACATTTAGGAAGCTGCTATGTATAGAAGATCAAATATACTATCAAAGGTAGTCTGTTTACCTTTATTTTTATAAGAAAAAATAAAAGATCACTAATTGGAAAATGAGAGATATTTTATATATGAAAATAGAATGAAGAAATGCAGAAAGAGGGAGAAAGGTGGGAAGGTAAAATAGAGTTCAGAAAGGCTGGATACATGTACACATACCTTTTATGGACAACATTCTGACAACCAATGTAAAGATACACTTCAGACATGTATGAATACAAATTTTATTCAGTTTTTCTCATTTTTGCTTATTGATCTTGGCATCAGCATGACTTGATGAAGACATACCATAAAACCTGAATGCCTGTCTGTCCTACAGAAAATTGACATGTGAGCCATTGATCTGAGTGCAAAATAACTGTCATGAAGAAAATGTGTTGTCATGCAAGAGGACTTGGCATTGGGGAACCAAAAAAAAAAGTGTAAAAGAGCTTTTAGAGTTCAACTGTCTTAAATAACTTTGACATTTGGTGCTGTCATCATCCAAGAACACCATATTCCAGTGTTCAGCCTTTGAACACAGGTATTTATTAGGCTTCTTTTATGGAAGTTCAGTCTACCCTCTTGGACTGTGCTTCCTTTGCTTGTTGTTTTTGTTAACCTAGCTTCATTTCAGCATTCTGTGGTCTCACATTTTAAACCCTTACACACCAATTACAGAGGTATTCACCCTCTGGTTACACAAGGAAACTTCAAAAATCTTTTCTCAGGAAAGTAGAAAAGGAAACTTTTATATACATGTGTACACATATACATACACACTGCAGTACCCTCAGTAAGAGCATGGAACCCAGGAGAGAATGTAAGGAGGTTGGTGTGAAGCACATCACCACCTCAATAAGTCTGAAGTACTTACTCATGTTTCTTGAGGTACAAAGTGGCAATTTTTCAGCAAACAAAATAATTGAAATAAAATGTACTGAATATGCATTTAATATCCCCAATCTAAAGAACAGTGATGCCCGCCCTACATTCACAAGTTTATTAAGGTTATGTCGATTCCTAGAAGAAAAAATCTTTGTTGAGCCCATTCTATAAGATAGCATGTATGATTCACTAACTGGAGCACACTAAAAACTACTTATTGTCTATTTTGGTATCTGGTGGCTGACAGAACAGTGCTCACTTCTGCTGCTCCAAGAAAAAGTGAATATTGATGCAGTAAATAGGAATGTGCATGGGTCACTGAAATACATCTTAAAAACTTTGTAGAAGATAATGACAAAAGGAGGTATTACACAGAATGGAATCACTACTCATAGTGTTTTGATATTTTGCACTCTGACTTGAGTAATGGTTGAACTATACGATTCCCCGCAATGATGCTGAACAGTTCCTTTTCTCCTGCAGCCTCATTGAACACTGCTTTGAGTTTGAGGTGGTGTGTTTTGTCTGGAAGGAGATGATGTTACAATTTTTATTTCTGTACCGGGCAAAAATACACAACAGTTTAGGTATTCATTGGCAAAAATTTGTATTTATTGTGACAAGTGTGTATACACTTTACTGTCTTAGTTTTGGATTTTTTTACAGGTTAGATCTCTAGGAGTTTTAGGCAAATTCTTCCCATTTTGGACATTATTTTATCATACTCCTTTCTGGTTGTGTTGCTTCCATGGTTGTGCAGAAATTTTTAAATTTATAATCCTTTCGGTCTGTTGTATGATCCTATCTCATTTTCTACACAAAATACCAGCAACAGTATTGAGAAAACAAAATTTTTAACATCTTTATAGTCAGAAACTGAGATGCCTGGCTGTTTCATATTTCATTATTTATGGTTTATTGTGATAGAGGCATATATGTGACTACAGCACAAATATTATCATCAGAAGTATATTTCCTGAACAAGATCATAGTGATTTTCAGTAGTGATCTTTTAATTCTATCTTACATTTACATTCTTCACTTCAACTTGTTTCTTTCCTTAAACTTCAAATGCTGGTATAGAGACAACTGCTTCATGCTTTGCTGAGGTCTCTAGGTAAGCTGCTCCCAAGTTAGCTTTAAAACGGTGATCATGCATCTCTGTCTCTCCTGATTCTGGGATTAAATGTATTTCAGTTAGTTTAGATTATTATATATTAATCACTTAGTCCTACCAGCAAATACAGGATGACCAAAATTTGTGTGTTACTTTGTATAAAATACTATAACAGAAAATACAAAAATGACAACATTGTCTAGTGTATTCAACACAAGAATCAACTGGTTAAAATGACATCTAACCTAGGATGCTCAGTACAGTCAGTCCATAAAAAAATGCACTTCCCAAGGGATGCTTAGGGCAAACTACTAAGGGGTCACATGAGAAAAGGACAACCCCAATGGGTACTAGCATTACAATAGTTCTGCAACTGGGGAGCAGATCTTGGAGAACTGAAGCACTGAGCTACATCTGCAGAATTTGATGGTATATTTTGAGACAGGCTCTTACTAAGTTGAGTAGGCTGGACTTAACTTTTTCTTCACTCACTTAAGTCTCCTGAGTTGCTGGGTTTACAAGCATGCATCAGCAGGACCAGCAAGATTTGTCTTCATGGCAAAATAATGAGAAAGTGAATGTATTCAGGATAAATGTCTTATAGTTCCAATATTCTATTACTAGATGGGAGAGCAATACACACTACACATCTTCCTGGTAACAGTAAGCAGAAATGTGCTGCAGGGAATCTGGCCATATGTTGTAGGGTGTAAAGATTGACACTATACAGTTCTTTCTTCTGTGAGTATATTTCGGATAAAAAATAGACATAATATTAGATAATAATTTATGTGCATAAACATAATTAATCCCATGGCAAGCTATACTCACTGCATTAGGGATACTTAATGCAGTGCTCACATGTTTTCATGATATAGGCTTCTAACAACATGACCCCATCACAAATTGCACAACTTTTGCATTTGAAAGTACCGTATTAAACACTTTGCAATTACAACTATGTTAAAAAGAGAGTACAAACATACAGTCAAAAGTGACCAAATGGGACACATGCACATGCACCCACCATGGCCCAATGTATGTGTTTGATGGCAACTGGCACACACTGCAAACATCAGGCAGAGGTGCTTATTATGAACATGGAGAAATGGCACTGTAGAAATTTGTCTAAAAAATCGGTCAAAGAAAAAACAATCTGAATTATATCAGTTAATTCCCTGTTTATCCAACTGACTGATACTTCACATGAGTTAGGTTTTCTTCATGTCATTAGTTCTGAGTATCAGGTAAAAACTGTGAATACCCAGGATAGATACCCAGGATAGAATGGCATCACAGCATCAGGGAATCGAATAAAGGCATCAGCCTTGTACATTCAATAGCAACCATGCTCCCCAAAACAACACCATAGCTGACAAAAAATGCTTTCAAACTCCTGATACTGATAAATCATACCACCATTTACACTTTTGGGAAACAGCACTATAACTCATGATACGCTTCTGGAGAGAAGTTATGGTTCTGTTGATCAGGGAGTGTCAGAAATTCACAGCAGGATGATTTATTTTTGGTATATGTGGTGGAAAACTTAACACCAAATTAAATTCATTGATATGGAAATGTCACAACTATAATTTTAAGAAGAAAATATAACATTATTTAAAGAATGATACTGCCTTCAGTAAGAAAGAAAATGCAACGTTTTGTACATGATATAATATACAATGATGTAAGGGTATAAGTAGTTATCCTGTCACAACAGAGAAACATAACATTTGCTAATCGACAAATCTGTGAAAAACACCAGAACTTCATTAAAAATACGTTTAGAAGCCTCTGAATATATGCATATCAACATAAAATGTAGCATCAGATTGAGAAATTTGTTTGCTTTTTTTAAAAATTGGTACCGGGGATCGAACTCACAACTATGTGCTTATAAGACAGGTGGTTATGCCACTGAGCTAAACCCCCAGGCCCAAAACATCATTTGTTATACTGAACATAGAGTATGTGCAGAAAAATTTGAATCAAACACAGTGGTCATATCCCAACAATTAACAGAAAACAATATATAAATTAAGGGGTTTTTTTGTACGATATACTTCCTAATTGTAAAGATAAAACATTAACTACATAGATACTAACTGTACCCGAAATAAAAAAGCACATTTGGATTCACCATGTCTAATTAAAAGACACTATGGATTAAGCAGATACTTAAAATACAAAATTATGCCAATCTAGAATCTCTATATTGAAATCTACAGATAGATAACCTAGACATGTAAAAATGATTTAATGAAAACCACCCAATAGATGTACTTTAGGATAGTTCCACCTTGGATTTCTACGCTCTGGATAATCTGTGAAGAACAACTGACATCAAACATTTTGTATTAATTATTATTCAGGTCTTTACTACATGACAAATTTTATGGGATTTTCAAAATAAGCTTACAAATATAAGCTTTCTCCCCTGGGAGGCTTCTTTCCTGTATTTAACAAAGTGTGTGGACTGGCATCTCTCCCACATTGCTAATCCACATAGGTTTTCTTCCCAGTAAGTTCTTTCATACATGTGACAGTCATCATGTGTGCTAAAAGCCTTCCCACACTGCTTACATGCATAGGATTATTAGGTCTTTCATGTATTATACATTCACTACGCCTGGTGAAATCATTTCAACATTGCTTAAACACATGGGCTTTGCTCCCAGTGTGAAATCATTTATTTGACAAGATCTTCATGTGGTGAATGTTTTCCCACATGGCTTACACACATATTTTCTACCAGTATAAGATGATCATATATGTTACATTTACTGTGCCTCGTGAAAGCTTTCCCACACTGCTTACATACATAGGATTAATATTCGGTATGAGCTCTTTCGTGTATTTTATATTCACTGTGTGACCTGAAAGCTTTTCCATCCTGCTTCCATGTATAGTGTTTCTGCCCAGTGTGAAGTTTTTCATGTATTTGACAATATCCATGTGAGGGGAAAGCTTTCCCACATTGTTTGCATACATAAGGTTTCTCCCCAGTATGAAGTCTTTCATGTATCTGACAATATCCCTGTGTGGTAAAAGCTTTCCCACACTGCTTACATTTATACGGTTTCTCCCCAGTGTGTGTTCTTTCATGTATTTGACAAGATTTGCGTGTGGTAAAAGCTTTCCCACATTGCTTACATACAAAGGGTTTCTCCCTAGTGTGAAGTCTTTCATGTATTTGGCAATATCCATGTGTAGTGAAAGCTTTTCCACACTGTTTACATAAATAGGGTTTTGACCCAGTGTGAATTCTTTCATGTACCAGACAAGATTTGTGTGTGGTAAAGCCTTCCCACATTGCTTACATACATACGGTTTCTCCCCAGTGTGTATTCTTTCATGTCTTTGACAAGATCTGTGTGTGGTAAAAGCCTTCCCACATTGCTTACATATATACGGTTTCTCCCCAGTGTGTATTCTTTCATTTCTTTGACAAGATCTGTGTGTGGTAAAAGCTTTCCCACACTGCTTACATATATATACTTTCTCTGTTGTGTGTGTTCTATTATGTGTTTTACATTCACTGCAACTCATAAAGGCTTTCCCACATTTCTCACATGCATAGGGTTTTTCCCTAGTGTGAGTTCTTTCATGTGTTTGACAGTGAGATTTTCTGCTGAAGGCTTTCCCACATTGCTTACATGTAGAAGGTTTCTCCCCTGTGTGAATATTTTCATGTGTCTGACAATAACCCTTTGTACTGAAAGCTTTCCCACATTGCATACATACATAGGGTTTCTCCCCAGTATGAATTCTTGCATGTATTTGACAAATATCCATGTGTACTGAAAGCTTTCCCACATTGTTTACATACATAGAGTTTTTCCCCCATGTGACGTCTTTCATGTTTTCGACAAGATCCACGTGTGGAGAAAGCTTTCCCACATTGCTTACATAAATAAGGTTTCTCCCCAGTGTGAATTCTTTCATGTACCTGACAATATCCACGTGTGCTAAAAGCTTTCTCACATTGTTTACATATGTATGGTTTCTCCCCAGAATGAATGTTTTCATGTTTTTGACAAGATCTGTGTGTAGTGAAAGCTTTCCCACACTGCTGCCATTCATAGGGTTTCCCTGCAGTGTGATTTCTTTCATGAATCTCAACATCACTGGGTGTTTGTGTTTCTTTCACAGTCACATTAGCATCTGGAGTACAAAGGAATACCACTTTATACTGACTCCAAGGTTTATGTTGATAGCATTTCTCTACCTCTTCCTTTCTGTAAAAAAAAAAATGTGACAATAAACTGGGTCTCCATATTAATGTTTTACCAGAACAAGTTCTGTTTTAATGCTTGAAATTTGGGCAATGTGTTCATTGAGAACTTTGTAGGAAAGTTGTTTAAAAACAGCCATTTGGAAAACAGTGATATTCCTTTGAGAATTTTAAAGTTGGTATATTTTGAAACACAGAATGTTTATCTTCATGAGCACAGATGTGTTTATCACATATTGATCATTTTGATACCATTTCCCCTAATACTCTCTCCCTACTCTCCTTACCTGATTTGTCTTTTCCATCTCCAAAAAGTCAGATTTTACTTTCTGTATCAATTCTCCTTTACTTTAGTCTCTAATTCATGATTTTTGGTTTCTCACATAAGACAAACTATATGACATTTCACATTTTTCATCTGAGCTTTTTCACTTAACATTATTGGAAGAAGATTCATTTATTTCTTTTGTCAAAGGACATGATATTATGTGTCTTTTTTGCCTGATTATACAGCACATTTCCCTATTCAGTGCTGGGAATGAAACACAGGTCTTAACACAAAATCTCCATCTTTTTATTTCTTATTTTGAGACATTCTCATCAATGATTACATTGTTCGGGCAGAGGTTCACTGCCATTCTGAAGATTCTGCTTTCTAAAGGGCTGGGTTTATAAGAATGCACAATTATGGGGAGCCTAACAATTTTTCTTACCCATGCATCCAGTGACAGATATCTAAGTGTACTGATTATCTTAGTGAGTACATTTAGTAGTCTACCAGCAAACTTGGAGGGCACCTTCTAATAATGTTAAATCAGAATGGACTCAATTTCTGGAGAAAGGCTTGAAAAATGTATTGAAACACTAGCAAGCATTTGTACTTGAATACTGCCAACAGTTAGAAATTTTGAGATATTAAAGGTGTTATATTCATATGTATGCATAAATAGATATAATCCAGATGGGTTCCTTTCAAAACTCAAAATTTATTTTTTTCATATACATCTATATACAATATCTAAATGCCATTTCATACATTTTGTTGATTGAATTCTCAGATTATACATACTCAACCTGTATACATCTTGGAAGAATTATGTGACATTAAATTCAACTTCCCATCATTTCCTGGCTGTCATGTTTCTGCTCATACACAGCCTCTGGAGCACATTCTTTTCCCTTGTGAGTACAAATTACTTTAGATGTCTCTAGTAATTTTTGTATTCTGTTTCAACTTCCTTGTTGTTCCCAGCTCTTCCTGAATTGTAGACAGAGAAATTTAAGAATCTATTATAATAATAACATAAAAATTAATGTTTCAATTAGATTCATGATATAATAGAACCAACCCTGAGCTATTCTTCAAAATGTTTTCACATTCTTTTTAATGAAGCAGCACTAATAAGCAACAAAGGATATTCTCTGTGAGTATAACTAAGAAAGAGATGTCATCCTTACCTACAGCAGCCATGTTCCTAAAGGTTTCCCACATCACATCTCGGTAGAGCTCCTTTTGGGATGAATTCAGCAGAGCCCACTCCTCACTGGTGAAGTTCACAGCCACATCCTCAAAGGCCACTGCCTCCTAAATGACAATATATTTTTCAAAAGAAGGTTGAGAATCACAGCCTGGCATATATTAGCTCACCTGGCAAAAAGTTAAATTGAGAACCAAGCGTGATGGTGCATATTTGTAATCCCAGTATTCAGAAGGCTGAGGCAAGAGGATTTACATGAGTTCAAAAGCAGTGTGAATTCACAGTGAATTCAAGGTCAGCTAAACTACATACTCAGAGCCTGTCTCAGGCCGACCCAGGAATGAACTGAGCTGAGAGAAACAAACTGGAAATGCAATCCTGATGCTATAACAGGAACAGGTAAAATCTCAGTGCACCCTAGCAGTGAAGCATTCAGTAGGTTGACCTGGAAGGGCAGGCCCAGCAGAGGCTGCCCAGGTCTGTGTCTCCCTAGTACACTGCAGTGGGCAGGAACACCTAGCCGGCAGATTCAAACAAACTCTAAAAGACAAAGAGAAAAAAAAAAACTGGGCTTCCTACATACGCTTGTATGGAAGGAACAAAAAGTATGGGAAAAGGGAGCAACAAGAAAGGGTCCTCAGTCCCCAATCCTGAGAACACTGATCCAGGAAAGGTAAATGCAAAAGAGAATGAAGACAGAAAACATGCAATATCAGACATGGCAATAGACATAAAGTGGTATCTCCGGAGCCTCATAGACAAGTTCAAAAATGAAGTATTTAATGAAATAAAGCAAGAAATAAGTAGAATAGTTAGAGAAATGCTAAGCACCGCCCAAGAAAAAACAGATGATGGAATGCAAGAACAGAAAAAAAGGGGAGAATTGTTTGATGGAGAACATAGAGAAAACATAGAATACATGAAGCAGGTTCACAGAGATTACTAGGAAACTAAAAACTCTATTGAAAGCTGGCATAACAGCTTGAAAGAAACTAAGGATAGATTATCAGAACTGGAGGACAGATTTGTAATGTGGGAGCATGAAATGAAAAACCTCTTAAAAATAACAAGAAAACAAACAGCAATAATACAAAGGCTAGAAGATGATAAGAGGATCTATAACTTAAGAAATAAGAACATAAAAGAAGAAGGAGGAACTCAAACAAATGAACTACAAAAGCTATTCACAGAAATAATCCAGGAGAATTTCCCTAATTTAGCAAAAGGTAAAGATACTCAGATGTATGAGGCATACAGGACCCCAGCCACCTACAACCCAAACAGAGCTACACCCAGGCATATAATAATCAAAATTCCAGAAATCCAATATAAGAACAGAATATTAAAAGCCATTAGAGACAAGAAACAGATCACTTACAAGGGAACACCCACCAGAATTACAGCAGACTTCTCGGCACAAACCATCAAATCACTAAGAGCATGGAGGGAAATAATTCAAGCTTTAAAAAATAATAACCTCCAGCCAAGAGTGATATATCCTGCACAACTCTCTCTAGAAATTGATGGAAAGACAAGGTGCTTCCAGGATAAAGAGGAACTAGGGGAATTTGCAACCACCAATTCAACTCTACAGAGATTACTGCTGGATATTCCAAAAATGAAAAATACCAAGATTCCAGAAAGAGTGGTAGAGCGGCCACAATGAATGGAGCAGAAAGCGAAATGAAGAGGACAAACTGACAACTAATGACAGAAAAAGAGCTCAAGAGAAATGAGGCAGAGAAGGTTGGATGGTATGAACAGCCATTTTGGAGAAAACAAGACATCATAATCGATAGTGCTGATTTTTTTTGTCATTTTCGTTTTGTTTTGTTTTTTTTTTATTGGTACCAGGGATCAAACTCATGACTGCCTGCTTGCAAAGCAGGCACTTATGCCACTGAGCTAAATCCCCAGCCCGGTAGTGCTGATTTAATATCCTCTTGTTTTGAAGTCCCATCAAGCTTTTCTTCTTCTGTCTCCATCGGTTTTAACATGTTGTATCTTATTGTATTTTATTAGATGTGATAATGTAAACAAAAACTTTTATAGACAAGATTATACAGAAACTATTGTTCATTTTGTTATTTGATTCTAAATACCCTGTAATACTGTCATTCTCTTGAACAGTTTTACATTGTTTTGATGTTTGATGCTACAGTATACGAAGTTATACCCAAAGATTTTAAGGGAAGAGACACTATGGTAACTACTATTATGTCGAGATTATCTTGTGGTGAAACACTATTTTGCTTAAATGGCTATGTTTTGACCTGTGCTGTTTTGTTGTTATGCCTCTTTTTATCTCAGTCTCCTTTTTATTATCTACTTTTTCATGTTTATTCTTTTAATTAAGGGAAAAATAAATAAAAAATAGCAAGATACATTATAGTAACCCACTTTGATTTCTTATTAACTTGATTTGAAACTCTGTATTGCTCTCACCATCTTGTTGTGACTGATTTTCCTCTATTCTGTTATGCTTGGTAGTACCAAGTTTGAAAGTATAGGCAACAACTATGAAGACATTAAGATTCATTGTGAAGCCCATTCTTGTTGACTATTATCTTCTTTTGAAGTCCTCTAATGTCTCCAATGTTTTGGTTTTATTGGTCTTATTCTTTAGTGTTTTGTTCAATTTTATTATAACTGATGATATAGGCAATTCTTTTTAAGATAACAAGAGGCATTATGGTAACCATTGTTGATCACCTTGTATTTTGTTTTTACATTATGTATTACGTGCATCCTTTTGATTTGACTGACTCTGCCCTGGTATGTCACATTTGGTTTTGCTCTCTTCAGAAAAAAAAAAGTAATAAGAACTGTGAGAGTAATAAAACCCAAAATGTGTAATTATCATTGTACAAAAGAAAGGAAAAGAGAGTTCTCTAAAAGATATAACTGCATATATATTTAACTGTATAACATAGATAACCATATTACTGAGTTTTGTTGGATCATTGAACAAAATTGTTTGTAGTCTCACTGTTTGAAAGTCCTCTCTATATGCTTTAATTTTGTAACTTGAAGAACCATTTCTAAGATGACAATATGTAATTAGCTACTGATTTCCTACTGTTTACTTTTTCTGAAATTCCGTATAACTTGTACCCTTTTCCTGGTTTTTTTTTT